TGCTATCCGCCCTTTTTATTTCAGGTCCGTGGAGATTGTGGGGCCCTTGTTGCTGAGAACCCTCTATAACATCACTTGGTGATCAGGGACAGTGCCCCTGGATTAGCAGACTAGTGGCCCCTCTTCAAGGGGGAACGGAAGGTGTGTCAATTTTCAGAGGCACCACACATCTCCGTTTTCCTGGGAAGGCCTTTGCTGATCAAACCTCGGCTTTAGGAGGAGCAGTCAGGTTTTAATCCCATTCAGGAAATGTTGGACCAGCTCTACATCCCCTGCAGGACGCTCAGGTTTAGGTTTTATTAAAGATTTCCCCACTAGTGTTAAAGAAGTAGGACACATTTCAACCCCACAGACTTATATTTACAGAGCATAGTCATCAATAGATCTCTTTATTTTTGTAAAAGAAACAACACAACAGAAATGTAAATTTTCTGGTTTATCTATGTAACCCTCAAAGTCTACACAGACTAACTTTAGTGCATAGAAACATTTATTTGGCATTGAAATGGTTTCCCTATTATTATCCCATTAAAATAATCCTGAAACTAGTTTTAGCATTTAAAACCTACACAGTTCCTGTTTTTGTCTCCACCAAGAAACCTTCCACTGTATAAACGGGTGGTAAAAAATTATAAAACCTGAGTCTTAATTAACTGAAATCATATAAAAAGATATATATATATATATATATATATATATATTTTTTTTTTTTTTTATCTCAAATCTACAGAGAAATACATTCTATAAACAAATCTTAGGTTTATAAGAAAATATCTTATAAACCTGTTAAAGCAATAAAGATATAAAAATACATACCACTATGAGAAAATTCCTGTTCTTACTTTGCTGCTTCCGCTGTCTCCTTCACAGGTGAAATATATAATGTGAACAAGTGAATACTGTTCCCATCTTGCAGGAAATATTCAAATCATTTGGGCGGTGTTTATAACTCCCATTTTTGCCAAATGCTACACAACCGTCTGAGTGACATGGAAGAAAAGGACACAGACATGTGCATGCATAGTAAAAATCCAAATAGATTTTATTGTTTAAAAAAAAAAAAAATTACATTGTATTCATTCAGATCACATGTATCTAATTTGATAGGAAGAAAATGTTACGAAATATATAAAACCAGGAAATATCTATGAAAAAGTGTACAAAAAAAAGGAATAACACAAAATTGTGTTTATTTTTTAACATTTGACAGTGTGCTTTGCAGGAAGTCGTGTTTATCCTCCACATGAAAGTAGATGTCGCCTGGGTTACTTCTTTCTGAGTCTCTTCATAAACGTCACTTCATCTCGGTTCCTGATCCCATAACTAAAGATGAAAATTTACCAAAAAGTTTCAGAGAGTTATGATCTTAGAATAGTTACATCAAGGCGTAAGTATAAACACTCACTCTTTAAGCCTCATAGTGTCATCTTCAAGCTTCTCGCCTTGAAATACCAGGTGGAAGGTTCTCCAAACATATCTCCTGAGAAATAAAGGGGAACAGCGTTAAGTTATTTACAGATCATTGTTTATTTTCTTGTGTATGTCAGCATCCTACCAGCTGATATGTTTGACTCCGCCTTCTCGCTGCTGTTTGAGTTCCATAAACCTGCGAATGGCATTCTTCAGATCCAGGACTGTAGCATTCTGGACAACAACTATGGCTATTTTAATGAGACAGATAGAGAGACATTATAACCAGCTATCGACAACAATTTAGTATAAAGATGTTACCAAAAAATAAAAAAATAAACACTTACGCATTATTTCACCATCTGCCTTTAAAACCTTAACGGTCATCGCTTGGCCGTACTCCAGTGCAATCTGGGAATTCACCTCTTCAAGGGTGACCTGAAAAAAATAAAGAACTTCAATGACCTTTTAAATCCAACCTTTCTTACAGGTCTTCCATAATTACGATGGGAGAGCTCTGAAAAAAACGACCACAGGAAGATATAACAAGAACAAAAAAGAAGAGTTTAAACACTAAAAGTGTTTATGTATATGAAAATGTCCAAACTTTGTGGGAATGTTATGTTTTCTCCATATTTGGGACAAAATTCAACACATAAACTTTTAAAGGGCCTATATAATGCAAAATCAACTTTTTTTAGCTTTTAAATATTTTACTTGATCAAAATCAGTCAGGGTGGTATTTCTTTTGATTCATGCAACTCTGAGTTATCCTCAGAAGTTCTGCTGTCTGAGCAGCAGCTCCTCAATGTCCTGAGAAAACATGTGACTGGAGAATACCTACAAAGGAATTAGGGCTGGAGGGGTAGGTTTACTTTAACAATGATTTAAATACATTTGCAATGCAATCTCAAAGTTAAGAAGAAACGGCTTTTAGCTGCTTATCTAGACATGGCAGAAGCCTCTATTTTTTAAGCAAATGTCTATGCCATGAAAATCTGTGTTTTTGCCCTCAAGAGGTCTCTGCCTTTTTACAGCCTTCAGAAGTAGTCTGATTAAACAAGCTTCACCCAGAGAGGGAGACGTGTCCTAACTTTGATGAAGTGTTTTCCTTCAAGGTTGAAAGAAAACCACTACATTTCAGAACAAATGAATATCCATGTGGAATTAAAGGCCTTATTTACCATATATTTGCCAATAGGTGACTTTGAAAGGCTTAAGAAAAGCAGGACATAGGCTCTTTAAATTCAATTCCTGCTATATGCATAAAATAAAAGAAACACGCACAATAAAACTAAACTAAAAGCAGGGGGAAAGCTTAAGACAATATGCCCTCTAATTTAATCTTTTCCAAACACAAAACTTTAGCTTTAACATTTAGCTATTAAATATGGTGCTGAGAACCATACACACCTGCTTTGTTTTTTATTTGCTACCTTCCTGTATTTCAGGTTCATAGATTTATTATGCAATTTCCTTACATGAAGTGTTTAGGTTCATTATGTCTGCACCAGACATCAAAACCATAAACAGCATTGGAAAAACAACACAAAACCGTGAATGCAGACAAGTCAGATGAACATTGATCTGTTTTTCCATGTCTGCTATTATTTATTAATTATTATATTGATCTGAAAAAATACAAATGAAAAATGTACTACATATAAAAGTGGGTGTAAGTATAAATTAGGGCTGCACCAATTAATCAGCCGGCCAATTCAGCCTTAATTATACTTTTGGGAGGCTGTAGATTGGCCGATACTTAGATGTAAAACAGATTTTTCCACCAATCTGATCTACCTCTGTAAAGGTCTAAAAACCACCCATTGTTAATCCCTTAAACTTTAATTTATATTTTACAGCAGTTATTTCAGAGGTTTCTATTGTTTCACTGGCAGTGATTAATGTTTTTTTTTTTTTAAGATAAGAATGAAATATGTCGTGTCATGATTTTATAACAACTAACAGTGTCAGTTGTAAAATGAAATCTGCATTGGTCAACATCAGAATCGGCATGTTAGGCTTTTTAAAGATCGGGATTTGGTTATTAACCAGAAACCTGTAATCGGTGCACCCCTAGTATAAATTAGGGATTTTAAGGGTCTTATTCTAAAGAGTAGCCAATGTTTGTATCCAAGACAAATTTCCTTTGGATGATAAAGATAATCTATCCGCAATCACATACAAACGAAACAAAGAAACATGCTACTCCCTCATTTCAAATGTAGAATCTCTCCTTGAACCCTCAGCAGTAATCTAAAGGATTAGCAAGATAACGATAACTGAAAACATTGCATCTTAGAATAATCTTTTTTATATACCGGTATATATTTTTTTTTAAATATGTTTTGTTTTAAAGCTGGCTGAAGTAATTCCTAGACTAACAGGGGGACTTTTTTTTTGCAGTTACACATAAACGTAGCAGCAACTAGGTTTTAACATTAATTTAGAGCATTTTTTTATGAACTGCATGTCAATAAGAAAAATTATGCTTAGGTTTTTAGTTAAATCTATAATTGGAGCAGATTTAAAGCCGTCTGACATGTTTTCCCAAAGAGCTATTAGCTAAAAATAGAATCGTCCTACATATACATATATTTATTTTTTTTTTCCACGTTGATATTCATAAAACTCAAAAAACTAGAAAAGTAAAAAGTTGTAGCAGTGTTAATAAAATTAAGTGCCTCCAGTCCAAACTTAATCAAATTTAAACTTATCTTTAAATGATCATTCAGAAAGGCATAGAAATTATCTATGAAATGTGAGTTCATGAGGTTTGTTTAAAAAAAAAAAAAAGTCTCTAATGTTAGAAAGGTACTTGGCTGCTACAAGTAATCTGGAAATACTGCAACAAGAAACAAACTTGCCTTTAACTTAAATTATAGTTTGGTTTAAAATGTTGCATGTTAAAAAAAACAGGGTTTAATCTTGAGTTCAGTTTAACAGTATTTAACAAATACAAAACAAATTTAACAGTTTTTTTGTTTTGTTTTTTTGATCCTGCGCACCTGTATTGGTAAATCACAGAGTAAAGGGTCCTGCACAAGTCGAGCCAGTCCCTCCTCGAAAATATCCAGGATCTCCGAGTGCGGGAGAGCATCTTCATCTTCATCTTCTTCCTCTGCTGTTGCTGCCTCCTGCTCCTCTGATGACAGCTTCTCCTTTTTCACCTCCTCCTCATTAAGAATGGCACCTCTCTCACCCTCTGCGCTTAGATTCTTCTCCGTCTCCATCTCAAACCTTACTGAAATAATTCAGCAATCAGACAAAAGTCCGATTTAATCCGAACAAAGACGAAAACAAATAACTAAACATGTTATCTCCTAAGAGCGAGGTGATTGTTTTAATGTGGAACGCTCAAAATATACATCCGGTGGAAAAATTTAAATCCTCAAATATGGTTCCGCTTAATAAAAATAAAATTTCTTATGATACGATCAGACATAAATACTATTCTGTACGTTGTAAAACATATACAATAATTTAACTTTATAAAAGTTGCTAAATCTTTTAAAATAATTTTCATTTGTGTGCAGTTTAACCACCAGGAGGCTCCTTCACCGTGTTTCCTAACGACATGCTTTATTTGCTGCACTTCCGCTATGAAACGCAGCAAATGTTTGCATCGAGATTCTAAACGATTTATTTTCTCTTTAAATTGATCTGGATTTTGTCTTGTCAGAATGTTACTGTTTTGTCCAACATGTGGGAATGTTTTAATAGTCGAAGAAGGACAAAAATGTCTTAGATTCGCCTGTAACACTTGTCCATATGTGCACAACATCACTAGAAAGGTAAAGAAAGCGATTTTCCACCGGTGTTGTGTTGCTATACCTTCTTGTTTTAAACTTTTATTATAAGTTAAATGTATTTTTTTTTCCTTCTCAGGTAAACAACAGAAAATATCCCAAGTTAAAGGAGGTGGATGATGTTCTTGGTGGTGCTGCAGCGTGGGAGAACGTGGATTCAACTGCAGGTTTGTAAAATTACGTTCAGATATATATTTAAAAAGCGACCACCTTACCCTTGTTTTTTATTGTTTTGGGCAAAACTATACATTTTAGAATACCTTTTAACCAGGTAGCTCTGAGTTGAGTTTAAATCATAATTTTCAAATAAGTGTTAATAAAATTAACAACAAAAAAACATGTTTTTTGTTGTTGTTTTTGTGTGTTTGTTTTTTGTTTTCTTACAGACCTGTTCTACTTTACATGCAGCCTCTTATGAAAATAGATTTCACTTTTTTTTTCTTTATGCCCCCTCTACTTAAGATGTAATACCAAATCACTCTTGTATGAAAATACAAGAATGGCACAGAAACTGTAACTGGTTGGTCTATTAGACAAAAGTTTTTCATTATTATTTACAGGTTTCCTTTAAAAATGATTTAGAAATCAAGGTGTTGCACATTTAACTCCAGCTATACTGTGATTAAATCACAATATATCTCTAGAGCTGTGTCATTTTGGCTGTATATGTATGAACACTCATCCCAGGGTTGAACTGGGAAAGATTTTTCGCCCTTGCATTTTTTCCATCTACACCGGCCCACCGTCCACGCTTGCACGAAGCCAGCCAGACACCCACTCACACATACTCGGTCTACTACGTAAGCCCGAGTGTTGTAAAAACACCAACATAAAACAATACAATATAGAGGCAAACAGGCAGTTCTTCAATGATGAATAGGTGAAAGCTCAGCGGTGTGTAAGCATTCGCTGCCAGTCTAGGTGGCATGTGGTCAATGAAATGGAATAATGCACAACAGATTTTTGCAAAAAAATTCAAACTTAAATTAGCCAAATAAAAGAGGAACATCGTAGTTTGGTTTAAAGAGAGCATTTAAGTTTTAATATAATTTCATTTGTTGCAAGGATTTTACAGTTTGAAGAAATAGAAAATTACACCATATGCCAACAGTCACAAGGATGTGCATGACAAGGAAGGGCTATATATACTGCATGCATCAATTAGGTAGTTAACTTTGTATTACATCTTGAACTCCTTGGTAACTTATAGACACAGGTAGGTGCTTTGGACGGAGAGGGAGAGGAAATGTTGATGTTGGGGCCGGTATGATTTAAGGAGTGCCGGCCCTCACAAGCTGAAATTAGGACCGGCCTGCATGGTATCACAGATTACCAGTCCGAGCCTGACTCATCCACAAGTGGCTACCTAATGTGTTGATTGATGAACTCTAACAAAAAACACGTTTTTGGTAATATTGGTGGTACTTTACAGTACCACCAATATTACGACATCCCTAAATAAATGTTAGGGATGTCGTACTCTTATATTGGTCCAATATCAGGCAAAAAAAAAAATATATATATATATATACGCATGTACCTAAAATCTCAGATATTGGCATGTTAATAAACGCAGAATGCTTCAATCTAAAGTTTCTGTAACCCATTGGTTATTAATGAAGGGTTCAGTTATGTTCATACCTATTGCTCTTTAGTATTTTTCCATTTGGGGAATATTTATCAAATCTTTTACAACATTCCCCACTTCAAAATAAGCATTAAAAGTATATATTATTCATGCTGATATGTATATAATCAATATCTTATTGGTCAGTTCTCAAAGGTACAATATCAGTATTGTATCAGAAATGAAAACCTATCAGGACACCCCTAGTAAGTGGCATTTTATTTAAGAATGGTTTACCTAAATTTCAATTATGTTTTCAAAAATAAAAATGTCACTGACACTTTCATTCAGATGTTCATTTACCACGTAAATGAACATCTTGACAGGAAAGAAAAAATTCAAAATGTTGGATCAAAGTAATTGCTAATTTGCATTTGTGTTTCTTTACAGAAACTTGCCCTAAGTGTGAGCATCCCCGGGCCTATTTCATGCAGATCCAAACCAGATCAGCTGATGAGCCGATGACGACCTTCTACAAATGTTGCAATGCACAGTGTGGCCATAGATGGAGAGATTGACTGTTTTGTTTTATTGTGAGAGGTTTAAGTCATTTTCTGATTCTGCTCCATCTCTTGAGAACTGCTTCCCTTAAAATTAATATTAAGTTTGTTTGCCACTTCTCCAGTATAATAAACATAAGATAATAAAGGATGCTTTCTTCATGACTTTTATTGATAAAATATTACCTGTGTACAACAGTCTTGTAAACTGCCTTACATTGTCATACATTATCACGGACATAGCAATGCAGATTTCACAATAAGAACATTTCATTGCAATCCTTTGATTTGCACTGATTTGTCAGTCTCAAGAAAAACAAAATAAGTAGGATGCACATTGATCTAGGGAGCCAACTCTTCATAGGCATTAGTGAACAAAGGATTGGACATGCAGTGATTGTGCACTAATCATTTATTGGCAGAAGATAATTCTGTGGAACTTAAGTTGATTTGCAGTCATTTTAATTTTCTCTTAATTGAAGCTTAAAGTATTTGCAATCTAACATGCATCAGAGCAATGCAAATAGACTTAATGAACTTGAACCAAGGTTGATTTTTGCATCTATATTTAGTGCATCAGTCTGCCAAAGTAAATGCCATTACTAACATGCCATGCATGTTTTCCCCCTATCAGTGAAAAAAAAAACATACCTCATATTTTCAACATGTTTTCAGTAAGTGCATGTTCATTCATTTCACTGAGCTAAAGACCAAATAAAGATGCTTCTACTTATAATATTCTGAAAAACAAAAGGGGCTAGCAGTGGATGTGAAAATTAAAGTGCAATTGTTTATTACAAACTAAACATGGACAAAGTTAGTAACAGCAAAGCAGCAAGTCACTGGACATAGTGACTGGACAAAAATAAATACAGCATGTAATAAATGCATCACTTTTAATCTTTAATTGGATCCCATAAAACCAAAAGAAGAAAAGAAGAGAGATCTGTGAGGAAAAGAAAATGCACAGAAGGTTCACTAAACATAAGTGTTATAACAGACTGATACATTTCTAGGATGATCAGGAAGAAAAAAAAAATCTCACAGTTTGAGTAACATTCACAAATTACTTCAAATAAAGTTAGCATTTTCACAGCATTATCTAACTGAGGCTAGCGTTTTTTCTTTTACTTCTTGACATGCATAAGATGAGAACGTCTGTAGGCTCACAGCTGTCCCTGCACTACTGCAGCCCTTTCATTTCCTCATTCTTTATATATCGCACTTTATCTTCAGCAGACCATAGGTTTCGAACATTTCAAATCCTTGTTTATACATTTCAGGAGGTTGCGAAAGATACACACAGTAAATATCCTGCAAACTTATGAGAAAACTTCACTTACGATATCATAGGGCTACACAAAATGGGATGGAGCTGGGGTTTCCTGTCACTACCAGCAGGGGGAGCTGAGAGTTCGTGTTGATGTGTGCATGTACATGGTTCTGTGGCAAGTAGCTGTCCGTGGTTAGCAGATGCGCTTGTATGTGTAGATGTAGCCCTTACAGTTAGGGCAGGTGTGTGTAACATCCTTGAGGTCATCAATCAGACAGGGAATCAAGCAGCAGCCAAGATCACACCTGGGAGCGAAGAAAAGAAAAAGATACCCAACAAAATCAAACACCACCAATGGAGAATATAAGTTGGTTGAAAATGTGAAATAATAAGGATTGTCTCAACACTGGAAGAAAATGCTATTCTTTGCACCTGCACAACAGATGAGGTTTGCAAACAAAACATTCAGCACAGTGGCGCGCACTGACTTTTTGAACTTACCCTACAAAGAAACAGAAGAGGCAGAAGAGGGTGTTCATGAGCCCGACATCATGAGAGATGCGGGTGACGATCGCCTGCTGACAGTGCGGACACACGGTCTGCACTGGTGAGGTCTGAAACATTTCGCCCTGCAGTACTGTTACAGTGGTGGCTGCACCTGGAGGAGCCAGGACGGTCGCTGTGTGTCCTCCCATGTGGACAAAGTGGCTGGGACCTGGGCCCATCTGTCCTGGTACTGGCTGAGCGAAGTGACCCGGTGGAGGCGGGTATGGGCCGCCTGCAGAGAATGAATCCAAAAAAGTAGAGTATTGAATATGGAATATAAGAACCTTGTAGAGAAGGCTCATTTGACATGGTTACACATTAATGTGCAAACAGAATTTACAGCCAGTGAATGCAAATGACAAAAAAATGGATAAACGATTTAAATGAGTTTCAAAATAAAATATGAACAATAAATAGTCACTGATGTTATTCCTAGACTGGGTCAAAACAAGAGAATACACCTCCTCTCATATTCTATTATCCACATACACACAGAGACAGCGTGATCAACTGTGTTTTCTGGTATCTACGGACAAACTGCTGCACCTTGTAGTGGTGGAGGCATTGGATGGGCAAAGTGACCTGGTGGTGGTGGGTAGGCCATACCTGCAAAGATTGAATTTAGGAAATAAAGTATTAACAGAAACAAAAAATACAGACTGAAAAGTTCATGAAAAAAATTAAAGAAACTGAAAAAAAAAAAAAAACTTTAAAAAGGAAAGTGATTAATGCGGTGACAATAAATGATGTATTTACACAAACAGTATAAAAAATAAAAAAAAACAGAAATCACAAAAAGCGAATGTGCCATGGGTTCACTGAATGCTGTGCGATGTTTGGTGGTAGATTGAGAGATTCACAGACGCAGTAACATTGTAATTACAGGTTGTTTACTGATATTTGAGGACGAACTTTATCACCTTGCATCGGCATGGGCATAGGCATGGGTCCTTCTCCTGGGACATGTGGAGGTAGGAAGCCGGGTTGTGGACCTTCATAAGGGGGAGGACCATAATCTGGAAGCATGGGTTGACCTTGTGGCTGAGAAGTTCGTACTGTTTCTGAAAGATCCACAAAAATACCTGTCTACCTGTCTACCTGAATTCAAGAATTATTTCAACGACTTTTAAACTATGCTAAAATAAAATCCAAGCTGATGATATTAACATTCCACTGTAATAGAATGTTATCAGCTACTTTTGTTTGAACACAATTGATTATACAGTAGGGGTGTAAATCACATCCATCATGGCGATTCGATTCAGTATCGATTTCCTGACCCAACGATTAGATTATTTTCGATACTCAAGAATACACCACGATTCGATTCGATTCGATTCGATTCGATTAATCGATTAATTTTTTTTTTTTTTTATTATTTTTTTTTTTACACCTTACAGGCTAAACAAAGTTTCAAGTTTGAAATAAATCAATGAAAGCTGTAATATCATTATGCATTTTCTTTAGAAACAACAGCAAATAACAGAAGTAGAAAAGTTGCATCAAAAAATACTGCAAAAATACTGCACAATATCAGTGTAATGAGTTCAATGCAATACCTCGGCTCCAGAGAAACTGTCCAACATATTTTTTTAGAATGTAATAAATATACTCAGGAAAGAGAGATGTTGCGTAGAGAGTTAGACAGGAATAAAAATAAACTAGATATAAGGGAATTGTTTCAAAGGTCATCTGGGGATGTAGTTTTTGGTAGTATTTTTAATTTTCTAAGAACGGGTATTTTAGGGAGAATATAATAGTTTGTCTGGTCCATACTCCATTCTGGAAGGTGGCGGTAATGCACCTATAAGTTGTTTGCCAACCGCCATTAAAAAAAAAGAAGAAGAAGAATGCTCCAGTGTGGACGTCACCGCCCCCTTGAGAGACGCTCCGCTGCACCTCTCCCAGATTGTAGCTGATTGCAAACAGTGCACCAGACAGGAGGCCGGCTTGTTTTGTTTTTATGACCGAAATTGCAGAAAACAACTCGTGAAGTTTGACCCGCTAGATGAGCGAGGTGCACGAGAACGCTGGGACCCTTTTTCCAGCTGAATCTCCGCTCTTTTTGCCCCATTGTCCCTCCGTCGTCGGACTAAACTCGCCCCCACTTCCTCATCGCCTCGGCCGTACCTAGACCCACAGCGTGTAGCCCAGACCACGCTTCAATACTGAGCATAATTTAAAAATGTCTGTGTGAAGCTTGCTGCAACAAACTGCTGTAAGAGTATAACCAGGAAGCGCGGTAGGAGGGCAAAATAGGTTTAGCTCCACCGCAGCACGGGAGGGAGACTTACGCCCAGGAGTAAATGGATAAAAATAGACCGGAGGAAAAAAAAAAACATAAACGATTATCTTGCGGACGTGTCGATGCATCGGATCGTCGGCTTTTGGATCGATACAAAACGATTATTATTTACACCCCTATGACACACCCAAAGTGAAAAAGTAATAAAGCGAAACAGATCCACCAAGTGAACTGAGGGAACCAATGAAAGAAACACATTTACAACATAAAGAGATATTAATACAATTAAAAGAAACCTAGTGACAACCAACACAGCTCTACAGCAGCTGAAGTTGTTTCATATATGTCCAAACTGAGGGCAAACATTTATTGGCTGCCAGAGTTCATTACCCACTGAGCTCAACAAAGTAAACATAAACATTCATCACAGCCCTGCATGTTTTGCTATATTACCAGGTTGTCCATTCTTTTCCTCGATGAGAGGGGCACTGGGACCTCCGGGGTACGGAGGGGGAGGGTCACTGGACATACTGGCTGGAGATTTAGGCTCTCAGATGGGCCGGGGTGCGTTGGCAGCAGTCACAGCTTTACGGGTCAGGTTTACCACTGAGGAATAAAACATGAAATCTTTAATCTCAAGTTTCATCAGACAGTACTAGTCTGTCCTGTGCTACATCAAGGTTAAATGCATGTTTGTCACAATTCCTTTATTATAAACAGCAAGAACGACTATAGTACCCCTCTCACCAGCACCCCTCATGAAACATCTTTAACATCTTATTTCTTAAACAAAGGTTGACATTTTATTATAAAAATTAGCTTTTGCTATATGAAGTTCCTGCTGTTAGCAGCAGCATAGGTTTGTCTGTGTCCACACTTGGACTGAACGATTTTGCTAAAAATTCTAAGCTTCTATTATTTTTAACCAAAATGACCATTGCGGTTTTATTTTGATTTTTCTTTGCATTAACTACAACCTAAGTAAGACGTGGATAAATTATCTAACTTTTGCTGAATTCAGTTAGTTTATAAAGGCCCCATGGTAACATGCCACACTTTGTTCACAAAATAATAAGTAATAAGAAAATGCAGATGCAAAAAAGGATATGAAAATTCAAGGTTTTTGAATTTTGGTTTTTAAATCTTCCTTAAGGATTTGAACATTTTTTGAATTCTAGTATTTAAAAATCGATTAATAATTACAATTTACAATTCCTCTTTAGTAATACAATTTAAAACATAGAATTAGAAAACGCTTTTCAAGTTGGATTTCAAATTGCCTAATTTCAATGTTACATTTACACTGACTCTCTGGGTCCTCCATATACAGGATCTATGGAATGTAGGAAAGAAAAAAAGCTACAACAGGAAAGTTGAGTTCTTTATCTGCTATGTTTTTACATTCAACAATGACTTTGACAAACTGTTCAAAATATAATTTCCCAATATTAGTATGAACACTTAAATCACATGAATCTAAAAAAAAAAAAAATACCCACAACAAATATGTAAAGGTAACAAATGCAACAGTTGTTTTTTTTTCCTAGTTCAATATTATCACTTTTTATTTTTTAACTCAAACTTTATGAATTGTAAAAGCACAAATAAATAACAAGGGCTTAATTTCTTTTTTTTTTTAATGATGAGGTTGGCACCACAAATGTAATTCATTAAAATCTGGTTCAATGTCCTAATTTTATTTAGTGTTATATTGTGCATAAAAATCGAAAAATAAAATGATCGGATGAATCAAATAAGCTTTTGAAAAGCTTTCCTTAAATAAGCCACTATTGTTTTACTTTCTTCTAGTCAAAGCTGCTTATAGCACCATGAATAACTTAGTTATATAACCTTTACAGACGGAGGTCAGCGCTGGTTTAACAGAAAGGTGTATCATTTGGTCAAAACACACTGCTTACATCTATGTAAGCTAACAAATTTAGTAACTAAGAGAAAACGGTGGCTACATGTCTGTGTAGAAACACGTTTAATGAAGGATCCTAATGCGGCAGAGGAAGGACTTAGCAGCGCCTAGTTGTGCTCATCTGTCAACTTAAAGACATCGCTGCGCTTTGAACCCAAACGTTAAAAGCTAGCTGCTGTTAGCTGTAATGCTAACTAACGTCGCCATTCTGGATATAGAAACGAAACTAAAGCTGTGAGGGGGGACACAGGACCCAGATAACAAACAGAGAGAAGTCCCCTGTTCAGTGATGCTGTACAGGAGCAGACAGAGGCTTCCTAGAGGCGTTATTACCTTATTCCAGGAGAAATAGCATCGAGCCGTCCGCGTTGTTGCTAAAGTTGCTTGGCGTTAGCTGCTTCAGTTGAGACGGATTTACAGTGACGTCATCAATCATGGTGTACACACCAGTCCACTCTGATGGCTAGGAGGTGACGGGACAGTTTTGATGCCCTGTCAAAAATATATATGTAAATAAAACTAATTAAAATATTTTTTTGCTCCTTTAAAAAAGGAAAATGTCGATATTTACGGAAGAGGATTAGGACCACTGAAAATATATATATATATTTTATTTCAGAATTCTGACTTTTTTCTCAGAATTCTGACTTTAATCTCAGAACTCTGACTTTTTTTCCTCACAATTCTGACTTTAATCTCAGTATTCTGACTTGAAACTCAGAATTTGTTTTTTTCCCCTCACTTTGATTTAGATTGGACCTTGGTGATAAGCTCTTGTCAAATCATATATGGATTTATTCTTGATAACCAATTAGTTCTGTTGATGCTGATACGCTAAGTTATATCCTAAAATACTCAAATAAGAATATTAAGAAGTTCAAATGAAAAATTGCAGGATATAGACAAAAGGTAGGCTTTAACAACACACACGAAAACTTCAATCTGCTCTAACTTGATTCTCCTATTTATCAACGCAATTTTATTTATCTTGAATTAAATATTGAATGTAACTGTAATAGATGTGCCTTATAAATAGATTTATTATTATCACGTGACAATTAAACAATTTAATCTTTATTGCGTTTGTAAAGTCATTGACTCGAAACATTTGGCACTAAAGTAAGTAGAGAAAACGTTGTATGCTGAACTAGGAAATTTACTGTTACTACTTTATCTGAATGTACACTAAATTGAGGTTTACTGTCAGTTATAGATCAAACCATAACATTTTATACAAGACAAATTACAGCCAACAATTTTATTAATATATGATCAAATTAATCTTCAACAGAGATTAAGGGCATTTGCCAGAAGATTCTAGGGGCAGTCAAGTGACCCAGACTGCTCTCTAGTGGTGTTAATGAGAACTGCAATAGCAATAAACCTCAGAGAGAAGTATGCATATAAACCATATTTAAACAGAATCAGGTTTTAATGAAAGCTAACTTCAATTAGAAAAGAAATGTGTTAAAGGAACTAATGAAACTACCACCACTATGCACTGTCCACATCCATATTTGCTATATTCAGTATTCATTCATTAAAGATTAACTAAAGTATTTCTTTCAGTTGTTCTATTTTATAGACAGACTAAAGACAAGTGTATAGCCTTATGTGTATGTAATAGAATTAAGGACCTATCAAATGTCTTCGCTAATACCAATCCTGTCAGATTAGACTATGGCTTTTAAAGGGTTTGTCTGGGCTGCCTGTTGGTAAATTACATTTATGTTGTCAGCTGAGTATTTAAAACATTAATTCTTATCAGGTATTTCTAAAGTTAGTTCAAATATAAAATTGCATCACCAGCTTGGCTTAGTGTGTGTTTAACTGTATTTTACAAAGCAGATCGAAAGGAGAGAAAATGAACAAAAATCTTTTAATATCCTGATTTTAAGAAAAATATATGCAACATTTAGCTTTAGGCAGATGTTCAAGCATATAGTTTCAAACATACAAATTACTATATCACCATTTTTATATGCATTTTTGTAATAATATATGGAATAATTGTAATACTGTTTTCTTAGTTTCTATGTTTAATTTTAGAAGCCATTGTCAGTGAAAATGAATAACCTAATTGCCAAATTTCTTTCTTGAATGTTTTTAAACAATTTAAACAAACAGATTTGTGCTAGTTTGAGACATAGTCTCTGCTGATCTCCTATGGTCATCATATATAATCCTTTTTGATTATTCAACTCGGATCGTCATCTAAGAATGATGAGTTAAAAAAAACTATACTTAAATAACAGGAAAAAAAAATATTTATAGAGCTACAAGCTGAAGAGAAGAAATGCACATTAACAGCTGATTGTTGCACCGATCTGATACATGGATTGGATATTGGCCCCCATATTGACTAATTAGCTGGATCAGAAATCAGTGATTTGATATCAGAGATTCAATCCACTGCACTTTACATTTAACTATTTGTTGTTTTTGCTGCTTATTTGTTAGTAAATAACTGATTTATAGTACACGTATATCCGTTTTAACTTGTTACATTTTAAACAATGTTTATGTCAAGGTTAAAGCCTCTCCTTACATCACAAGACATATGGTTCATCTATTGAACAGCTGAATCAGATCGGTATAAGATATCGGCCAATATGCTCAGCCCAGGTATTGTATTGGATTAGAAAAACCTGGATCGATGCATCTCTAATGATTATCTCTCCCTCCTCATATTCCTCAGTCAATGCGTTCTTCATTCTTTCACAGTTTCTCTGACTCTTTTATTTATTTATTCTTAGCAATGTTTACATATCTATAACAAGAAGAAATTTGACAAATAGATCTTTTTTGTTAATTTATCATTTTTTTTATATATAAGTTACATTGCTGTGAATGCTTGTCCCGTTTTTTACTTTTTTTAAAATACCTGATGATTGGATTTTAGAATAGTTTTTGATGATTAAATTAATTATAATTTGTCTGACATATAACTTCCTTTAAACCTCTTTTTATAGCCTAGTTATTATGATTTTGAACTTGTAAGGACTACAGCGTATTGCTGTCAGCTGAGAAAACAAATGTGTGCTAACTATATTGTATAAACGTGGTACATTTATTGTATAAACATGGAAATGTTAAATTAAACATTTACATCTATATTTTGAGCGTTGAGGGAGTAAACCCCACACACAGCTCCGGCCGACCCTTTAACGCGAAACGAGCGCCCTCTCTTGCTGAACTAGAAATGACGCAGCCAATCGGATCGAGTCCCTGCTACGTCTGTACGTCTGTGGCAACAACAGATCGCCCTTAGCTATTTTTCCTTTTGGTAACCTCAGCGCAAACAAAACCTCAGCGTAACTATGTGGAATTGAAAACAGCATTTGTCTCCGGTGGATGTTATATTCGTCTGGACACCTGTCTAGGCTCGAAGCAAAGCAATATTTGCTGTCGTCGGGCCGTTAGCTAGCAGCTAACTGTTGCTAAGAGGAAGATGGGCTCCATCCTGAGTCGTAGGATTGCTGGTGTTGAGGATATCGATATCCAGGCTAATTCGGCCTATCGATTTCCTCCTAAATCTGGTATGGAATATTCACTTTATATCTAAGGAATAATTTTTGTTTTTGATATAGAAACCATCCCTGGAGCAAAAACAGCACATTTTCACCATGTCTTGTTTTCATAACGTCCTTTACACGACTGATCCCCATCTATAGAGACGTTTAAACTGTTTTATGTTTTTAGATCGTAAAATCCAAGATATACGTTAATGTTTTAAGTTAGCGAGATCATATGTTAAAGATTAATCTAGTCCACCCTGGGGTGTGTTAATGTTAAACTAGTTGGGTTATATGATCATGTTAAGATCTTAAATGTTTACAATCCAGCTGTCACGTTTCACATTTTTCCTTTTTTGTAATGTCTTTGTATTTTATAGACACCAATTCATTGACTTATTCAAGTTTTGATGATCCCTAATGTTTTGCACTTTTCTTGGTTAAGCTAATTTTAGTATCTGCACAGCATTCGTTATTTCCTATGCTGTATATTTGACAATAATTCATGATATTTCATTACAATTTCTATTCTATGGCCATGTTATTGTGGCAGAATTATTCTAATATGTTGCATTGCTTGACCCTAAACATGTTTCAATTAAAACAGTCTCATTAAAACAGAGGGGAATCAGTAGTTAACATTTTATCTTAATTGCACTTTTATTGATCTCATATTAGAGAAATTTACCTCTACATTTAACCCATCCCCTTGGGGATGTAAAGTTAAATATTTGTTTTTAACTCTGCCTCTGCAGTATCTTTATTCTGTGAAAAATAGCATTTTCATATATTATTGGTAGTGTTTTGTTGTTACTCATCCAGGTTTTTCTTTTCCAGGGAATTATTTTGCAAGCCATTTCTTTATGGGTGGAGAGAAATTTGATACTCCTCATCCAGAGGGATACCTCTTTGGGGAAAACATGGACCTGAATTTTCTTGGAAATAGGCCAGTGCAGGTAAAATCTGATGCTTGTTTTCTGTCTTTTAAATAATTGTCCATAGTTTGAGTAAAATATAATTCGTATTGCTGTTATTTTTCTAGTTTCCATATGTGACACCTGCACCCCATGAACCAGTGAAAACCTTGAGGAGTCTGGTTAACATCCGGAAGGACTCGCTCCGTTTAGTGAGGTGAATTCTACGATATAGAACATGGAGGGGGGGGAAAGTAAATAATTTCTAAGAATGACCATCAAACCATTTGGTTTCAGATACAAAGATGACTCGGACACCTCGCTGGAGGATGGCGGAAAACCCAAGGTTCAGTACGGCGTGGAGTTTACCTTTGATGCTGATGCCAGGGTTGCCATCACTCTTTACTGCCAGGCGTTTGAGGAGTTCTCCAATGGAATGGCTGTGTAGGAATTCCTTTTGAAACTTTTAATTCACAGAAAAAAAATATTAAATGAGCAATAACTAATGATGACACCTGGTGTTTCAAATCCTTACAAAACACATGAGCTGGGCACTGTCTGGGCTCTGATTGTCTTTTGGTCACTAGAAAGATGAAGCACGCTCCCTTTTGTCCAATTTGAATACATCGTCTATGTATGTCTCAAGAATTTTTATCTTCAAAATTCATGTTTTTTCTTCCAACAGCTTTTAGTTCATATCAACGACTGATACAAAACTAATGTTGAATCATTATACTTTACTGAACAGAAGATGCAAACTTGTTTTTATCCAATTGTAAAATATTTACAGTAGTGTTATAAACTTCTGTAATGAAGAAAAGCATGGTTTATTAGTAAAAATCAGATTTAGATCCCCTTTCAACCTGAGGAGAGCACAGACCAGGTTGTTTAAAAAAAAAAGAACAGAAAACAAGTTGGTTTGGGGGGTAAGAATAAAAAAAAATCATTGCACACAAAAAACATGTAATCACTGTCACATATATTTTCTGATCATCATGTCAGAGTCTACATCTTTCCATCTTTCAGAAAAACCTTAAATGAAATATTGCTGCTGCTGCTGTGTTGTTTGCTGTGTTTCAATGTTTCCTTTTGTTTGGTGACAGTTAAGTTAGGATGTATTCAATCGTCACAGGTTTCTTTCTAGCTGTGGTTGAACATCATAGTTTTTGTTTTTTGGCTCTGTAAAGATAGGCATCTGATGAGGCTGTTGTGTCGTTGGTACAGGTACAGTCCAAAGGATCCAACCTTGGTCTCTGAAACGGTTCACTACAAGCGAGGAGTGAGCCAGCAGTTCTCCATGCCCTCCTTCAAAATAGACTTCAGCGAGTGGAAAGAGGAGGATGTAGGTTTGAATTTTAGTATTTTTTTACAAGATCCCAAATCACAGAGAAAGGCTTCATATTAGTGTATTCACTTCCTAATTTAAAATATCTGAACTGTTGTTTTAAAGCTAAACTTTGACTTGGACAGAGGAGTCTTTCCTATGGTGATCCAAGCTGTGGTTGATGAAGGAGACGGTGAGTCATTAGGGCCTCATTTAACATTAACATCCCCCATTAACATAAAAGAGTAACTTGCCAATGCTATCTTTATTTTTCTTTTTTAGATTGTCTTGGACACGCTCATGTGCTTTTGGCAGCATTCGAAAGAGTAGGTTTCAAACCAAAAAAGAAGCATCAATGAAAAATGAATTAGGTTTTCATCTGAGTTAAAATGCATTTTCTACCTGCAGCACGTCGATGGCAGTTTCTCTGTAAAGCCTCTGAAGCAAAAGCAAATTGTAAGTTTAATTTTTCAATTTTACACAGTGATGCAAACTCATGGCGGGTTATCGAAATGCGCTCATTGCTAAAAAGGCTGCTTGCTTGTGTCGTTTCAAAACGTATTAATTTAAAGTTGAGCAGAAGGAAAAAGTGTGTGAAGAAATCTGTACAAAGGAGGATAGCCACAAGGATGAGAGGATTATATGATAATTTGGTAAAGAGAAACAAATTGGGGATTGCAACTGGATTTTTGAAAGAATGGGGAAAAACTTTGAATTTATAAGAAATAGAATTGATGTTTCGATTCATGTGTACATCAAAATTGATTTAAATAAAAGCATGCTTCGTGAGTTTAAATCATTTGTTTTTTTAATCATCCTCACTGACAAAATCCACTTAGTTATACATGTGGGTGTACAGCATTTGCTGATGTTGTTCTAAGTGAACCTCACATTTCCTCTGTATATTTTTTCTAGGTGGACCGTGTCAGCTATCTCCTCCAGGAAATCTACGGGATTGAGAACAAAAACAACCAAGAGACCAAGGTATAAGTAGAAATATTTAGTGTTAATCCAGATGCTGAGAAGCATCAACATCATTTGATGACTCTCCTTTTTGTTTTCTCCTCAGCCGTCTGATGATGAGAACAGTGACAACAGCAACGAGTGTGTTGTGTGTCTGTCAGACCTCAGAGACACACTCATCCTGCCATGCAGACATCTGTGTCTTTGCAACTCCTGCGCCGATACTCTGCGCTATCAGGCCAATAACTGTCCCATCTGCAGGCTGCGTAAGAGGACCTTCTTTTTGTACCAGCTCAATGTGTGGGTTTAATGATGCATAACACCATATTATTAGTGTTTTATGTTGGAGTTTGGTTTCTTCTATCCAGCCTTTAGAGCCTTGCTGCAGATCAGAGCTGTGAGGAAGAAACCTGGAGCACTATCTCCTGTGTCCTTCAGTCCCGTTCTGGCTCAAACTATGGACCACGATGAGCACTCCGTAGGTTTTTTTTTTTTTTTTGTTCATCTTAAGTATATCACTTAGATTTCCCTCTATAATAACCTGTAACCCTTTCGTAGAGCTCAGACTCTGTCCCTCCTGGTTTTGAACCCATTTCCCTGCTGGAAGCTCTGAACGGTCTGCGGTCGGTGTCTCCTGGCATCCCTTCTGCCCCACTGTATGATGAAATCAACTTCTCAGGGGGTCTGGGAGGCGATAGCCGACAGCTGAGCTCTCCAGAGCATTTAAGCGACGGGAGTCTTCAGAAAGGAAAAGTCAGCAAGTCACCTGACAGGTACGTCTGCTGAGAGAATGCTCTCATTCCCAAAACTCGAAAGGGATCACATAAAGAAAAAAAAAAAAAAAAAAAAAAGGCAGCCTTGAAGTCTGAATGTCAATAACCTTTTTTGTGAATTTTGACTTTACAGGTCAAATAAATAACTAAACTTATGTTTGCAATACTGGACATTTTCTAAGCTCCTGGTGTGATTGGTAAAATATCCTAAACTTCTCTGCAGCACTCTTAGATCGCCATCCTCTCCCATCCAGGAGGAGGATGAGGAGAAGCTGTCTGAGATGTCCGATGCGCAGCCACACACCCTGCTCTCCAGCAGCCCCGCCCCCACAGATGTAAGCTCCTTGGCTATGTTACATTCAAACTTTATCTCTACTGAAAACCAACTTTTCACTTGTTGGCTCCCTTTCTTCCAGGCTACAGCTACTGAAGACGTAGCAGAATCCCTTTCTCCAGATGATGGTAAGGGTTTATCTTTGTTTTTTATTTTTCTGTTGGTGAATAGAAACGCTAATACATGATTGCCATTATCTGTTTGATCCAGATGACAGAATGCCTTCTGGAGGAGACATCCTGCAGGACTGCAGCAGCGAGCACTGCAGCTTAACCAAAACAGAAAGCGACCCGACAGGCGATCTGTCTTTACCCGGTGAGAAATTTGCTTTCCAGGAGAGAGAACAACTATTGATCAGTGAGGGGTGTTTTGTTAGAGAGCAACACAGAAATGAAAGGGCCATTTTAAATGTGTTTCTGTATTTGATGACTGAGTGTTCCCCGTCAAACACATTCCCTGCATCCGGCTTACTTTTTCTCTATAAGGCTTTACCTTTTTAACTATGGTCTCCCAGATCAGTATCTTTAATCCAGCACTTTGAAAACTGTGATTCCTACGTGCCTTGCATCCAACCTGTGTGCTCTCACCTGTGCATGTTTCCTAACACTCTTCTATTTCCTACGATTCTATCTCTGTTCCTCCTCACCTTTTTGCAGCTCTAGGTCCCGATTCCTGCTCCATTGGTATGGAGGAGTAACTGCGGTATGTAGGCTTTCCTGTCTGCTATGCTTCTATATAAACCAAGGCTCTGCCTGTTCCTTCTAAGTCTGGTTCTCTGTGATTGCATTCACTCATGTCTGTTGTAGCTAGAAAAATGTGTGAAGTTGCAGATTGACAAAATTTTAAATACACTTTATTGTGCTTACCTATCTATATATATTTGAAACATTGCTTTTTACTTTTACATCTTCTATAACAGGTTCATCGGATTCAACTGAAAGTCTAAAAAGTCAGAGCACAAATTGCTCCAGCCAGCCTCTCCTGTGTCCCACGAGCAGCCTTCACATGGAAGATGAACATTTCAATTGACTCAAACTCGCTTCGCTTTACTACAACCATCCCGTCCTTTCATGACTTTCACTCCACTAAGCTTCAGGAATCAGTTTTAATAAAATTTGATGCCAGACATGGGGGTGAAAAGAAAGGATTAGGAAGGACTGTTCATCATTCCTTCATCATGTCAGCTTAACAGAAGGAAATCTATCCCATGGGTTCTTATTTGATGACCGCTATATCTTTATCCCCCATTTTTGAAAAACATTTAAATAACTCATATTATTCAGTAACTTACCATCCCAACACTATATTGAGCAGAACCTCTAAATGCAGTTTGTACTTATGTTTTGTAACTATCAGAGAAACACTAATGATTGATCTGAGAAGAATTTGTTTGCTGGGAGAGCTTTACCGTTGTCCGTCTCCATTTCCCATTGATTTTTGCACTCCAACTAAATTGTTTATTCATTCCTTTTAATGAAAGAATATTTTTGCTGTGTCTAATTCAAAGTTTTAGCATGCCGGTTTAATTTTCTGATCATAAAGTTACTAGAACGATGTGTACTTAAAGATCTTGCTTATTATAAATATATATAAATGTATAGAATTCTATAATGTTTAAGTGACAAAACTAGATTCTGGTGAACATGCACATTATTTATGCGGTTGGTAATAAGAGCTACAGATGAATTCTGTAGTTAGAGCCTCGATCAAAGCGATTTACGAAAACAAGGCAGGCTTACTAGTCAGTGATATGGCTGATAGCTGTACAGTCTTATTGTGACAACCCAAGTGTTTGCTTATCGTGTAGCTGCTAAACCAGGAGTCGTGTTCATGTGGCAGCAGCAGCTTTAGTTTCCTTGGTGCAGTATGTGTAGCATCATGCATATAGATCTTTGTGCCTTGAATTAATATGGCTGCTTGCTTCTCACAACTTTCCCACAAATGCTACAATATACAGCAGCTCCACAGCACAGACAGGTTTTAGGAGGCTAATGTACAGAACTTTTTAAATATTTCAAGTTTCATGCGGCAGGAAGAGAAGATCTCGTTATTGTCATCAAATAATTTTCAGTCAGATTGTTGCTTTACGTCGTTATATCCAAGTATTAATTATGAATTTTTTTTTTATTTCAAGTATTTGGGTTTGAGTGCAATTGTGTTTGTGTTACTAGAAGGAGCACATCTAAAAAAATGTTTGCATTTAAATAATTGGGCTTGCATTTGCATGTGAATTTGTAGACTCACCTGGCTCTGCTTTTATATGTTTCTTTGCTGTTTTATCCTCTTCTCTTTTGTGCCATTTCAACTTGACACCGTGCCTTCCTGTTCTGACCACTATTGCCCTGGTATCCAGGTTAACCCCACAGTAGGTGGCGTTTGACTCTATGTAAAATCATCTACCCATCTCTCTTTGTGTGTATAGCAGCATGTGTATAACAATAAAGGACAAAGATTGAATACCAAACCAGCCAGATGTTTTTTGTCTAACTGTATCTATTATACAGGTCAGTCATTTTAAACCTAAAGGTAATAAAGAACCAAACATTCAGATTTACATAGCTTTCTCTTGGCTTGCTCTGATATTTAGTTCAGTTAAATAGCATGCATGTGAACATTGGACTGCTGTAAAACCCACTTATTACTTGTACATGAACTGTTTGGCTGTTTTCAAAGACTGACCTTAAAAAAAAAACTCAATAGGACAGATACCTTTTGTCTTTGGTTACACAAGATTTTTTTTTCTCTGTTAAATAAACAAGAAAGGTATCATTGGAGTAACAATAAACAGTAGCACATGCAAATTAGAAGATCTTTGTCATACACTGTTCCAAGTATGCTGGGATTATAAACAAAAGGTGAATTATAGACTTCACATAGAACATTGCGCTAATAAGGTTTCAATCAAGCTCATGTTTGGAAATTTCTTATCTGATCACAATAGCTCCTTTAAGTGAACATTTCTATGAATTATAAAGCCGGCCATGCCTATCACGCTTAATCCGTCAGGGTCATGGTTGAGCTGGTACTTGTGTCCTGGACAGGGCGCCAGTCCATTGAAGGGCATTATAAAACCTTGCTAAGCAAAATGCAGGCATTACAAATAAAGATGCAGTTACTAAAGGCAGAATGCTCTATTTATTATGCATTCTAATATGTTTATATGCAACCTGAATAATTATGAGATGTGATTTGCAGGACTTGACATTTGCATATGCATATAAAAAAAAAGGAACAGTAACAGTTTCTTGTTACCAGACCTTGTGTCACCTGATCTGTTGTGTAAAAATAGCATCAATCCTTCCGTTCATTTATTCTTCCAACCATCATTTTCTTCATCAACAATCTATGGTTTTGTTTATTCATTTGTAGATCCATCCATCCATCCATCCATCCATCCATCATTTTACTAAAATTAGATATTTTACAGTAATTTAATTCTCAAGTAAAATTAAGAGTAGTCAGTCACCCTTAACAGTTACAGAGTCACCTTACACTAAAAAGTAAATTGAATTTGAAGTCCAGATATATACTAACATGTATGGAGTGAGATTAGAGAATGAGATTAGAGACTGTGGACAGTCAGAAGGCTGCTTAAATGTTAAACTGTGTAAAAAAAAAAAACAACAGAAAAGGTGTGGTCATGCAGCTAAAATATGAATATATAGATATATTTTTTTACCTTACCAAAAACTTTAAAAAAACTAAAGGATTTAAAAAAAACTGTTCTAAAATAAGGCTGGAATTTTGTTTCCTAAAGACATGAGGACTTGCTTTATCTTTAAATACCAATATTGTCTTTAGATTTAAAGTGACTTTAGATGGTGCTTTTAGATTTTAAGTTGACAGTTATGTGCAGATCTGAATAAACAGCTTAACCTAAGGCCGGTACCTTCCCATTTAATCAGTCCTTGGTAAATCTCTTCAAGGCATGAAATCAATCCAAAAGCAATCCCTATAAATCTCCCTCCTCTCTCTGTACCGACAAATTAGCCCACATGCCCTTAATCTTTTGAAGCATGTGTATCCCCACCTCCAGCAGCACCATCTTTCACTCATCCCCACTCAGCTGAGAGAGCATGTTTGGCTGTGTTCAATGTAATCATAACCCAGCATCACTCACAAAATCAATCACTTATGAAATAAATAATATCTCTACAGGGCAGGATATTTATAGTTGATGTAGTATAGTAATTGCAAATTTCCCTATCATATAGTACGACATACATTATTGGCTCATGAAATGATAGAGGGGTGTACAAAATCTTAGCAGTCTAAGATTTAATCAGTAGTTTCTTTATCTCTATAAAAAATGCATTATATTGTCCCTTAAGTGAGGATAAAGATTGTTTATACTGGTTGCAGTGCATTTCGCTCTGAAAATGTGAATGAAATGTGTTATATGGATTGGAAGAACTGAATTATTGGAGTGAAATGTTTATTAGAAAGAGAGAAATGTGTAAAGAAGTGAGGAAAATTAGCTGCTCAGTTAAATTGATCTGAAATGCTTTAAAATAGAAACCAAGACCAAAAAGATATGGAGCAGAAAGGAAGCCTAACGTTCAAATGGATCTGAGACGAGCCAGATTTTGATATAAAACATTGATTGGCCTATTGGGAAGTGGCGCAACACTAGAGACTTTGCGGACTGATTAAAGGAACTTTCTGTGTTTAAACTGTCAGAAGAACCTATAAAACATAATTCAAGCCACATTAATATCCAAAATACTTAAATATATTAATTAGAGGAGTAACAATACATTGATTCACATCAGTACACCAATTTAACACTTACCGGTAACTATTCTATTATATTGATGCAAGTTGTAAACACCAACCCACAAAACATCATCTTCAAGATTCACCTTTATTTTGAAATTCAAAAGGCACAAGACAATACAGAATGGTTAATCTATTAATATTTCTTTCATTTTTGGTGGAATTAAGTTGATTTAGTTGACTGTAAGAGAGTAGAAATAAAATGGTAAAATTGTAATGTCTTATTTGTAAGTCGATATCAACTTGAATAGCTGTTTCAGATGTGCATATGGTATCACAACATATTGTTTACATACTTGTATATTGAACTGAATGAAAATTGTATGGTAAAGAACCATTGATCTATGTAAATATCGTATCATCAATATGTTAAAATAGGAAAATGCCTTTGAAATATGGGTTTTACTGAGAAAATTATCACAAACCCACCAATAAATGAACAATATCTTGACTTTAGCTAAAAAAATGTTAACATTGTGGAGTTGGCAGCCCAAACAACAACCCTAAATATAGAAGAGAACTGTGATGTCACCACACATCAATTTTTTTTACAAGAATTGCTAGTTTCATGTTTTGTTTTGGAATATTATGTGCCATATTTTCAATTCATTTGCATTTAGGGGAGTAAAAGGTCACCAATACAAATGGACAGTATTTTATTTAGGATGCAGAATTTTTTCATACTAACTAAAGATTATGTCTATTTATTCATTTAACCCTAATATGGCTTCTTCAGGTATGTTAAAAACTAAGAACCATTCACATAAATGTCTTTACATTTATTTATTTATTAATGAATACATATTTATTTTGAACTAAACACCAAAAAAGGCTGTTCTACACACATGGAATACAAATAATTGATTTAGCAACCCCAGTGCCTAGTTCAAATGTTTTAATCCAAATCCAGAGTATAAAGCCCATGTCTGATTTAGAATGAGGGGATTTATTAGAGACTCTTGAGGCACGTGCAGAGACAGCTACCCTGCTTTGGGACAACCACTTTGCATTATCAGATGAGCCCCAAAGAAGAGGAAGAGGAGGAGTGGACAGCAGAGGAGGCACAAAGGTCATTCCCTTGCTCAGAGAAGTGAGGTAGATTACAGTCAGGGGTGTAGGACCCACGGTGAACAGATATTTGACCATTGTTTAAACTGCAGTATTAAATCCCAGTACATAATTGTGAAGCTGCTGTTCACAAGAGTAACATGACAAAGCAGGTCAGTGGCTCGCCTTTCCTGAAGCCCTTCTTTTTGAAGACACCCGTCAGAGTGGTCAGACCTCTGCAGCAGAGACGACACACGCTCCCCGCCAGTGAGTTCAGAAATCTCACCCCACAGGATGCAATCAGTGTGTTCGAAATTGAAAGAGAAGGTAAGTCTATTTTTATGCGCGTATAAATGGCCCAAAAATATAGATTCCTGTATTCCATTTGAAAAACTTGTTTCTGTTTTAATCTAGATGGAATGGAACAAATAGATATTTGTCAGCAATGCTGTTAAGATTTTGAATCTGCCAGATTTAACATGATAGCATGTTGTTTATCCTTTCATCTTCATCACTTCCTTATTAATAATAATCCTTGTCTAAAATGCCTTCCAGCTTTTGTGTCCGTCTCTGGCGAGTGTCCACTTACACTGGATGAAGTGCTTAATTTTCTGGGGCAGTGCCCAGAGCTGTCTCTGGGTTGGTTTGAGGAGGGACAGTTGGTGGCCTTCATTATCGGCTCCGGTTGGCACAAAGAAAGGCTTTCAAAGGTATTAAATTATTCCTAATATCAAAATTCTTGTCAAGACATTAATTTCTGTGACTCATCATGAATGATGAAAACTGAATCTCTGTACTCCAGGAGGCCATGACTCACCATGTTCCAGACACCCCCACTGTGCACATCCACGTGTTGTCAGTGCACCGCCACTGTCGACAGCAGGGCAAAGGCTCCATTCTTTTGTGGCGCTACCTGCAGTACTTGCGCTGCATGCCAGGCCTCCGCCGAGCTCTGCTCATCTGCGAGGATTTCCTGGTGCCCTTCTACCAAAAGGCCGGCTTCAAAGAAAAAGGGCTGTCTGAGATCTCTGTGTCCAGCATGCAGTTTATGGAGATGGAGTACATGCTGAACGGGCAGGCGTATGCACGACGGAATAGCGGCTGCTAGTCAGTTGCTATAACTGGACTCATGACAGACCCATGCATTAATGAACTGGGCTCAACATTTAACCAATGAGAGATGTCTGGGTGGAATGAGTGGACTGAGTGGATACAGGCAACAAAAAGCTTTTTACTAATAATGTGGCTCATAAGACATAATATAATTGTATTCTTTGTTATCAGTTGCTTATGAGCTTTGATTTTAATGCTTTTCATTAAGTTATACTGTAGTTTGTGCTGATGGGGGAAACAAATACATAAAAAAATGATTAAATTACAACATAAACTTAAAAAAAAAAAGAAACTGTTTCACTGTTTCATTTTAATAAACTACAAGTCAATATCCAGCAGGCGTTTAGAAAAAGTAGCACACATTTTTATTAATCCATGTTTTCTTTTCTTTTTTTTTTTTTTTTTACTCTTCAGTTACATGAGGGTAAATAGGCGGCTAAAACGTCACCATGTTTAAAACAATAATCACTTCTTGAGAAGCAATAAACAAAAGGAAACATTCGAGTGCTCAGCATAACGTAACAAAAATATGGCAGTAGTTGGTACATTTATCAACAAGGCACCAAAGGTATTTATATATGTGTTTTGTCCCTGCTTCTGGTTCTGAAGTTGCCTGAATAATTAATGCGAATGTCGAATATGATCCTTCAGCCTGTACCAGCGCCATGGCTTCTCCGATTACTTCCACCTGTGTAAAAGAGAAACCAGGTGCTTTGATGGGTTTTTGAAGTGCCTTAGCTTTTTTTCATTGGACAATAAAAGCACTGACAATGACTATGAATGGGAACGTAAAAGAAATCCATTTGATACGGAGTATAAGTATCCATAATGACAGGGTAAAAGAACAAAATCGTTCAGTTCACAGACAAAGAGGAAATGTTTCCTCTTTCAGTCCACAACAGTTGACACGATGCCTTCATGCTTTGTTGCTCACGCTTCAATGAAGGTGAGCATTGAGGTCGTACTTCTCGCAGAATTTGTCCGTGAAAGGGATGCAGGTGAGCAGTTCGCACCAGTCACACTTGATTGGGTAGACGTAGAAGAGCACCACGAGGCCAGAAAACAGACCGACAAACACCAGCAGGAAGACAATGATCTGGCAGCGTTTGCGGTACAGGTCTGTGCGGCCGAAGCTGATGTAGGGCAGGAAGGCAAAGGACAGGAAGAAGCCAGAGATGAAGCCACAAATATGGGCGAAATTGTCGATCCAGGGAAGCAGCCCGAAGGCGAAGAGGAAGAGCACCACGCACAGCAGCTTTATGAAGGCCCTCCAAGGCTGGGCCAGGATCTGCCAGCTCTGAAAGAGCTCCACAAAAAGGCAGGCCAGGATCCCAAACTGAGAGCCAGCTGGACCCACCTGAGACAAAGAGAGTAAAGGATCAGAAAACAAAAACAAAAAAGAACACATTCTAAGAACTCTATTACCTCTGCTCTATAGGGCAGGAAGATGGCTGAGGCCAAGTTCCCCGTGATCCCACTGAGGATGTAAATGATTGAGATCCGCAGCCAGCCAGCCAGTTTCTCCAGATCTCTCAGGATGGTCATCTGGAAAGCCACGGATACCAAACAGTGAAGGATTCTGGGAGAAAATGTAAAAAAAAGAAATAAAAAATAGAGTGTTACTTGTTGGACAAAGATTCCGCAAAGCTGCACGTGTCAAGATGATAATCCTTCAGAGCTAGAAGAAGCAGAGCAGCTCTACCCTGCTGCAAAAATCTATTTCCATCTTAGCAAAGCTTAATGAGTTCACGCAGCGAGGCCACTTTGTTAATTATCCAGCAGAAAGATAACGAACAACATAATAATGGAGCGCTTCTTTACTATGGGGTGGCTGGAAATGGGAGGTCTTTTTTCTGCCTGTCTGACAACTACACATATACATATACACACAAACACACACACACACACACATATATATATACATATACATATACATATACATATATACATATACATATACATATATACATATACATACACATATACATACACATATACATACACATATATACATACACATATATACATATATACATACACACATACACACATACATACATACATACATACATATATATATATACACATACATACATACATACATACATATATATATATACACATACATAGATACACATATATATACAATTTCCTAATGCAGAATGTGAACTAAGATTCTCATCTTTTAATAATATTGCTCTCAGCACACTGTCTGAATAGAGCACTAAAATAAATCGAATCCAAATCTTCTACTGTTGCCTTGATTTATTGAAAAAAAAAAGAAGGTAACCTGTAGATTTATTCCTGAGTTGAGATCCTCAAGCACATGTTTTCATTATTGACAGTAATGTCCTGTATTTAGTTGCAGGGTGACTGTTTTAACTTGTTTCTGTTATGTACTTGCCTGTTCTGACATATTAAGAAAAAAACAAACAACCTAAGCTTGAAATGCTCTTTAACAGATTTGAATTAAATGCATTCCCAGGTTGTGCTACTGTGCCAACATGTGTGACTCACCCTGCGTGCAGGAAAAGCGAGAGCCAGAGCCTGTAAAACTGATCTGGAATCTCCGGGTTGAGGAAAGGCAACAGTCCACAGACATCATCCATGCAATGCACCTTAAAAATGAGAGCATTTTCTTTTAAATCCCATAATAACAAAGAAAGACATGACAAATATATGTGAGTGTAATCTGCAGAGCTGCTCACTTGAGAGCAAAGAGTAGCCTCTTCATGGAAGTAGCCCTTCATGAAGTCACAATACTCCCTGGATGTGATTTCACACCTTGAAGAAAACCCAAAGCAGTTAGCAAGTCAAAGGGTTTGTGTACATTTTATGATCAATCCAGTCTGAAAGTTTTTTACCTCCCTTTGGTTCCGATGCAGCAGGGTCGGCCGGTGATGGTGCAGTCAATGTGAGGCAGGTTGGTATGGTTCCCTGTGTTGTACCTAGTACAAATCTAAAAACCAGAACACAACAACAAATGACAGATTAGTTGTGTAATCCCTCTTTGATTAGATATTACCCAAAATATTTTTTCCCCTTATTAAATTAATCCAAATAGAAAATTCCCACTTTTATTTCTGGTTAACAAACAGCATTGTGTTTGGTGAACTCTCATCACTGGCGGCGTATCTCAATTTTTCTGATTTATTATTTTTTATATATTATTTAAAATTTTTTATATTTATTTCCAGATATAGAGTAATGAATTTGTTGCAAAACAAGAAATCATAATTTTAAATTATGGTAATAGGCATAAAAATAAAATAAAAAATAAAAAATAATACAAGGGCTTTTTACTTTGATTTTTTAGTTCGGGCAATTTAAAATCCTCTAAAAATGTATATATATTTTTTCTTAATTGGAGTAAATTAGCTTAATATTTTAAACTTTAACAATGAATGAAAACAATAAACAAGAAAATAACAAGTTTTTCCAAATAACTTTGATAATTTTCACTGCGAAAAAAAACACAACATTAAGTTTATTTAAATAACTATGATGAGGATCAGTATCAGATTGGGATGGGGCTTTAAAGTACTTACAGGCCACTTTGTTATATCATCGGGCCATTCATGTGGAGACCCCGAGGCCGGCTCCAGACATATCCTTTTAACAGAGAGAAATTATACAATGAATGCATTAATTACTTCAACTGTTACCATTTACTTTTTTTTTTAAACTCCACTAAGTTTCCTACCTGGGATCCTGATGACACACCGAGCCATACTGCCTGTCTTTACCATTAATAAACTGTGGAGTGCTGGGATGCTTCGGCCACTTCACCCACACAGCTAGAGTGCTCTGCACAGATGAAGACAGGGAGGATCAGAAATATTTGCAGCATTTCTTTGGATGGATCATAAAGGAAAACTGAATGTTGAGCTCTGTGTTAGGAAACACACCGAGCATTCCTCCTCTGAAGTTTGGACACATCCAGAGCGATCGTTCCGAACGCAGCACGCAGAGTTGCGTTCAACATCTCTCTTTTCCCTGATAAGATTGTGCACCTGTTTATCTTGTCGCATGCATGGAGAGAATTTGGCCCCTAAGTGGATCAGGGATTCCTAGACGTGACACAGAAAAAGGTTATAACAAAACAAAGTCCGACACCTGCTTACAGAAATCGTATGATAAACAAAAAACATTAGGTAAGAGAAAGAGTTGCTTACAGAACCAGGCCCGATCCAGAAGTTCTCCTGCTGTACAAACTTGACATTTTCATAAACACCTTTGTTTCTTAAAACCTAAGTACAATGACATCCGAAATAGAGCAATTAGCAACTGTTGTAAAAACCTAAAAATGTTTATTAAGGCCATAAATGGGACTTACAGAATCAACAGTTTCATGCTGAGAGAAGCCCACAGGTGCAATACCATAGATGCAAACAGCCAATATAGTGATGAGTAAATGAACAAAGGTGATCCAGTAGGTGAAAAAAGGTCTGAAAGACACAAAAATAATATATTATGAAAGGCTGGAGAGTGTCCAGTAGTGTAACCCACTGGGGGAGCAGTAGGAAGGTGTTTTCTATCTCATGTGAGACAGAGGTGCTGCACCTGTGGTCGTCCATATCCTCGATCTGTCTCTTCACGTAACTATCAATGCGTTTGCGGTAGGTGCGGTTTGTCAGCTTTCCCACCATACCCAGCCCATATGGTCTCTTTTCGCGAGCAAAAAGCTTCTTGACAGGTACGACGATGCGCTGTCCGCGCCTCTGTCCATGGACGCTCACCACCTCCTGACGCAAGGGCACCTTTGGTGGTCCTGGAGTTCCTTCTTTGGCTTTACGCCAGCCCCTTTCCAGAGGCCTGAAGAAGTCAATGGGGAACAAATGAAATGAATTAAAAGAAGAGAATGTTTTGGGATTAAGGATTATACAATTAAAGGTTTTATCTGCTTTTTCTTCGTGGTGTTTAATTATTCTGACCTTTTATAATACTTTCTGAAAGTGCAATTACTCAGATACACTTATGAAAAAATGAGGGTGGGGGGGGCAATAAGTGCAGCTTTTATATCTGTAATTTTAAATGCAATAGTAACACTGTATATTATATTATAATTTCAAAAGAAAAAATATAGGAAGTTTGTTGTTGCTCAGCAGAAAGTGGGGAAAATGCAATATCAGCCATCAAAAAAACAGCATGGCCTGCAGTTTCCTTTACAAACTTCAACATTTAGCGTAAAAAAAACTGCAAGTTTTCAATAATAAGAATTAGCGATTTGTCACAGTACTCCTAGATAACTTCACAGCTTCTTTAATCACCCTGGAGCTGAACATTGTTTTTTTTTGTTTTTTTT